CCCTTCTCTGAGATCATTTACAATAGGACAAACTCCTAACATTTGGGAGACAGTCCTGCTGGGCTCAAAGGCAGTGTTGGCTAAACTGATCAATCATAATTATCTGTAGTTTGGAAGGGGCCTCAGTGGTTATGTAATCCAACCTCCCACCTGGCACAAGAATTATCCCTGTAAGGCCTTGACAATAGCCACCATGCCTCTGCTTTAGATTTCCAATGAGAAAGCACTCACTAGGTTACTGTGTACACGTCTCAACATCTCTAAAGGAACTTTTAAGTACCATGATCCTTATTTCTCTACGTTCATGGTCATTCTTTCTTCATAATTCTTGGTGATCATTATCCATCCAGCTCTCTCTGAGCTTCATAGTCTTTAGAAATTAAGCTAACCTTGCTGATTCAATGTCATTAAACAAACATTGACGGAGCAGAGGATCTATTTTGTGCCTGCAACTTTGTGATATTCATCCCAAGGGTCCCGCGGGGCAGTGACTATGCAGTGACAGTGTCAGGGTTTACTGTAGATACACAAAGATTAAATACTAATATATTGAGTACACAATAGGGACTTAATGCTTTTAAACTTGACTCATTATCAATTCCAGCCAAATCTAAGTATAATCTCACCCAAAGTATTTCAGAAGCCGCAACACTCAGGAGGACAAGACCCTGTGAAAGCAGAAAGGTGTTAAGCTATCCCAGGAAGCTGCTTCCTTGAAAAGAGGTTCCAATCTACTGGGAGGCCATAACCACTGAACAAGGCAAGGAGGAAGGAGTTGAGCTGAACACAACTTCACAACTTCCTGCTTCTTCTAAATTTGCTCTTCATGGGCCCCTCCCCAACCCTCAGCAAGAGAAATGTTACTGCTAAACTGGAAAAGAAACTGCAGGATCCATCCACCCAACCAACAGCTGAAGAGACCTCACTCTGTGCCAGGTAATATTCTAGGTATTAGGGATGCAGGCTCTACCTCTAAGGAACTCACAATCTAGTGGGAAAGACAAGACATGTAATAACTAACATCATGCAATAAGAGCTATTTAGATTCAATCAAAATTTTGCCCCTTACCACCTGTCAAGGGAACCAGGCAGTCCTGATTTGGCCCCTCCCCTTTATAATATCTGAGGGCAAACCACGCATCTCGGAGCTTCAGCTTTTATTATGCGAGAAGAATGAATGTAGATGCTGCCTAACCCCCACAAATATGCCAGAGGATGACAAAGAGGTACAAAGGATACACTGTGAACTACTGAGAGCAGTCTCTTCTCAGACAGAAGGACTCAGATCTAAATTAGGCAAAGGATCCAAAAATGAGATCCGGGCAGTCTGGGGCCCTAGTTAATTATCATCAGCTTTCCTTCCGGTCAGGGCCACCGCACCTCGGGCACCAGAGGTTGTTTCTAGCCGGATAGTCAAACTAAGGGATGTGTAGGGTATAGGATGATGAGAAGTAAATGACAGCATTCAGTGCACCCTTCTCCTAATATCACTCCTCCCTAACCTAATTATTGGAGCCAAGTATATGGCTAAATCCCTTCCAGACCCATATGGATTCAAATCCAGTTCTGACTTACTTTTCTGCTAGAGATCACACAGAAACAAGCCAAATAATATCCATTATGTTAAAATCATAGACATTTTAGAACAAAGAGGACTATAAGAGGTTACCAATCTGCCTGGCTGTAGGCAAATACCTAAGTCAAAAAAAAGTCAAGAAAAAACTTGGTTAATCATTTCTTCAATTAAATAAATAAGTAAACAAGTAAATAAATAATAAAAACAATAAAAATTAAAATAAAATATATTCAGAGCACAAAATTCCAGGGCTTCCCTTTGTGATCCTACTCACAGTCTCCCACTGCCATCAGGAAGTTCTTTATGATCAAAACAAATATCTGCTATAATGCACTTAATACCATTTTCTTTTATTCTAGCTTCCTCAGATTTGAGATTACTCCATTAGCTATAAGCCCTCCTCTGTCCCTTTCCTAGTTTCTTTGGGTGGAATGACTCTAATTCCTTAAATTCCAGGAGTTAAAAAGCATTTCTCCTACAATATCTCCACCAAATCTTTGTTTAGATTATACCTCAAATGACATAGGAGTAATTGATGATGTAACTCATTTCATATTTGGACAACTCTTTCTATTTTAAGCTTCGACTGTTTCTTGTGACTTCCTACCGAAGGTACAATATCTACCCCCTCGGCAGCCATAGAATAAATCTAATTCCTCTTCCACATGCAATTTTACATGGCTCTGATGCTCCCTCAGTCTCTTCTCCTCCAGATTTGCAGGTCCCTTCAGCCATCCCTCACACATAGCATGCGTGTGAGGCCCTCAGCCATTGGGTTCACTCTCCTCTGAATGAGTTCCAGTTTTCAATCCCCCTCAAACTGAGGAGCCCAGAAATGAATATTGAATTTATAATACTGAAGAGAAGTGCTATGATGAGCCCAGAATAGGGCAGAACCATCACCCAATGTGTTTTGGAAATCAGAGTGCAAACGTATATTTTCGGAGTCATCTTCTGAATCAGGGAAATCTGGAATTAGTCACTATTCTGAGTCTCTAGCTACAGCGTACAGGCTAAGGGAAGTGCATGCATATGTAACGTATATATGTACATCCCTACAAGGAACCACCCCACCCCCCGCCACATACACACACACTCCTTTCCCCAACCAGACAAATTCAAGTTCCAGTGGGATGATGAAAAATCCACCCACCTCTCACCCCAAATCACATTGTAGTACAATTCCGAATGTTTATATGAATATCTCCAGGCCAGATGCAAAACCACAGCCTCTAAAGATTCTCCTATCTGGAGATGTCAAGTCCTTAGCAAATGTTTTCTCTCCTTTTAGTATAAACATTTGTTTCTCGGACTCTACTGCCTGACTTACAGATAAGCTGAAGTTTTGCCTGACTGGCAGAGAGCAATACTGTGAGGTTCCCAGGTCAGTAGGAAAACTGAAGCCAGATTTGTCTTGTCCTTAACCAGGAACAGAAGGGTGTATATGTGCAAACACGTGTCGAGGGAAGGCTGCCTGCATCCTTTACACTTTTCTAAGGTCGTCTCAGGTGATCACCAAGACTTTCTAACCAGAACTATCTATTTCAAGGGTCAACAAACTATGACTTATTGGCCAATCCAGTTCACCGGCTGTTTTTGTATGACCCATGAGCTAAGAATGGTTTTTACATTTTGAAGTGTTGAAAAAAAAAAAAGACGATATCTTGTGACATGTGAAAATTGTATGAAATGGAAATTTCAGAGCCCATAAATAAAGCTTTATTGGGAACACAGCCATGCTCATTTGTTCATATATTATCTGTGGCTACTTCCACTGTATAAAGCAAGGTTGAGTTGCTGTAACAGAGACAGCATGGCTCACAAAGCCTAAAATATTTACTATCTAGATGGCCCTTTACAGAAAGTTTGCCAACCCCTGGTATAACAAAGGTAAGGCCTTGAAAAGGTCTTTCCTGTGAGCCCACTTCTCTTCTGTCAAGTTGGGGAAGAAGGTGTCTTATGTCCCACAGACAAGGAACCTGTGCTTGATGACTCCACAAGTCGAGAGAAAGGGCTATCAGCTTGCTCCCACCTGCAAAGGAAATTTGTAGGGCCAGGAAAGAGAAGAAGAGTTTTTTCTAGGTAGGATGATAGAAGTTCCCATTCCTTTATTCTCTCCTATGAAGAATGAAAAAGAGAATGGGGTACTACTTTCTATGGCCTTGACACTGACACTCTCCTGCCACGGGCAACTTCCCAAAACATCCCTTTTTCCATCCCTTCTTCCAAAGCCCTGGTCCTAAACTTCTCTAACCTGTGGAATGCTATCTAAAGCAAAGGAGAAAACATGCACATTGCTCAAAGCTAGCCAGGTAGAGAGGAGAAACAGGAAGCAGAGGAGCCAGGAGTGTCCACAGAAGCACAGATTGCTAGCAAGTGTCAGAGAAGGTAAGAGACAGAGATACCTTCCCCGGGCCCTGGCTGGGCACTTGGCTGGATTCCCAGGGAGAGAGAGAGCTCCAAGCAAATAACTAACAATGCAAAGAGGTGTGGGGGCGTAAGGATCAGCCACTGGCTGTTTTCTGAAAACACATGGCAAATCTTTAAGCCAAATGCTGGCTAAGTCAAAGAATAAACAAATCCCTATTTTTCTCCTGAGACAGGAGCTATCATCTTCCCCTCTCATCCTCTCCTTCCGCTAGCCAGATTCATTGGTCTGCTAGCCAGATCCATCAGTCCCATGGCTCTTTGTCCCTAGGGAGAAGCAGAATTTGTCCATCTCTGAGAGGGTGGCTTGCCTTATAACCTTCCAGCCTGCCTCCCCTTCCCTTGCTAGCCACTGCTCTGGTCACTTCTCTCCCCTCCAGAGGCACCCCAGAGCTAGCAGGTAGGAGGAGAACAGGAGCATATGGCTTGTCCACATCTCCCCCAGAAACTTGGGCCAGCTCTCCATGACGCACTGCTAATTCAATCCTCTGCCTTCTTCCCTTCAAGTCAGAGGGCCATGAATGAGTCTTGCTGACCAAGGGAACCCCATCAGCCCTAACACAACCTCTCCCTCCACCCAACCTGGGCCTAACCCCTCAGTGCTCCAAAGCTCAGCTCAAGTGGTGCTACTATAAGGAGAGGGGGAAGGAAGAAAGATTAAAAAGCTGAAGAGAAAAGAATGTGGCATCTCTGCAGCATGATGTCACGCTGACTGCTTTCAGATCCCCCAACACAGAACAGAAGCAAACAACATGGACTCCGGATTTACTCAGCCTTGAAAGGTTTGTGTTCTTAGCAGCCCTAAGCAGCCTGCACCAGCTGAAAAAAGCGAACAGACAGACAGATAGGTCCTTGTTACAGCCCCCAGGGCCCCAATCCGACCCCTGGGCATAGACACCTCTTCAAAAAAAATCTCAAGGAAACAAAGACACACACACACACACACACACACACACACACACACACACACACGAGCTCAGTACAAGTTAGCACTAACCTGGAAGCCATTAGGAACGGTAGCAGAGTGCAGGCAGAGAGGACCTCATTCATTCATGCATTGGGTAGTGGGGGTGGGGGCAGGGAGCGGGGGCCCTGAGGACACTGGAGGGCACTCACCTCCATGACCATCCCACAGCCCTGTTTCTAAGGGAGAAGGGAGTGGGGGCAGGGTTCTCATAAGCTGGGGGAGCTTCCTTTCTCTGCTGTTATGCACGGCTCTGGAATTTTAAGCATGACTCCCCTTTATTTTCTTTTCCCCCATCTCCTTCTGTGGCTACTTGGTGTGGTACTGCAGCCATATAGAAGTCCCTCTCTCTCTCACCCTTGCTCCCTTTCTCTCTCTCTCCCTCTGAATCGCTCACAGACAGCTGTTCTCCAGCTCCTGCACGCACGCGCACAGGCGCATAGACACACTTAGACACACGCACGAGCACACGCACGCGCACACACCCTGCCGCCTGCCGCTTTACATAATGCAACTCTTTGGTGCTGTCAGCTTGCCAGCTCTCAATTATTCATGCCAGCTTGGAGGACAGACCTACTGGGGCTGCAGGCGTTATTTCCTCTTCATTCCCAAATCTGACAAAACACAAGACGATGCTCTAGAGAGAGACTCTGCTCCCTTTGCTGCCACCAATTATTTCCCAGGTGTTGCCTATTAGGTCAACCTGTATCAAGGAAGTGACATTAAATCAAAACACAGGTGCCTGGCTCAAAATAGAGCCTTGTATCTTTCAAAGGCTGACAGCTGTTCTCACTGCCTGCGCTTTGGGAATAGGTGAAAAGAGGAAAGCAGACCTGGAGACCAAAACCTGCAAAAGAAAATGGCTGAAGGCCTCTTCCGGGTAGCTTTTCCCAGACTCCCAGGCAAGAGACTGTGACACTCGCTGCTTGAGTAGGTCAAACTATTGCATAGGAGAAAAATAACATTCAAGTAAGGCACTTATATTCATGACAAAGCAGGGTCATCTGAGTTTTCAAACTCTAAGCTGCATCTCCTAAAACTATTTCTTCTCCTAGCCATTCAATGAAATGCAGTATTGGTACTGAAACAGCCTCCAGAAGAATACTATCAGATGAAAGGAATTCTATTCAAAAACAACACGAATGAACATTTTAAAAGTCATTATGGCTTACAAAGCACTTGCACTCACGTTCATTCAATTTCCTCAATAATCATCTGCAGGCACACCTCAGAGATAGTATGGGTCCAGTTCCACTGCGGGTTCGGTTCCAGACCACCTCAGTAAAGTGAATATCGCACTAAAGCCAGTCATAATCTTTTCACTTGCAGACAGTCTTGCCTTCAATTTGCAAAAACTGCAACATCAGTTCAGCTCAATAAAGCAAGGTATACCTGTACCTAGGTCTCAGGCCCCACGGCCTTTTCTGGTGGAGCTGGGAAGCCAGATGACCTAACTCTAAATCACATGATAATTAACTACCTAATACCCCATAGTCCTTGTGAGTCTTTGGAGAACTACCATCATCTTTCGAGAGAAGTAGCAAGAGAAGCCCAAACCTGGACCAAAACACACAACAACAAAAACAATGATGATAGTTAGCTCAGTGTCTCTCAAACTTTAATTGCCTGAGCATCTTGTTAAACCACAAGTCCTAATGTAGTAGTTCTAAGGAAGGACCCAAGAGTCAGCCCTTCTACAAACTCCCAGGTCATGATGCCCACGTTGCTATTCCATGGACCACATTTTGAGTAGCAAAGGGTTGGTTTATACATTCTTATTCTTCAGATGTTCCTAAGAAACAGAGTTTTGTCTGTCTGCTGCAGCTACACAGGATGGCATGATGAAGGTGAATAATAATTACAATCCACTAATGTCACCTTTGTTCTGCTCACCAAATTCATGCTAGGAGCTAATGCTGCTTGGGCATTTGCTGGCATAAAAAGTCTCATTCTGGGATTGTCTACAGGCTCATTGCGACAGGTCTTTCCATGATTTTTTCTGTCTGCTGCCTGTTGATAGAACAGCAGCCTCATGGTATCTAGAAAGCGCATGGGTTTGTGCTGTCTGGCCCCCACTTCAGTGACCTAGAAGAATTTCAGCTCCAAAGAAAGGTATACTAGCAATGCCCTGGGACACTAGTGCTGTCCCAGTCATACCCACCCTTCTGTCCTGCCTCTTCTGAATGCCTTCCTGGCTTTGGACCATGGACCTGCCTCCTTCTGTTACTCCATGGAAAGATTTTGGCCTTCAGAGTGTTGAAAAAATGATAGAATAAAAAAAAAAAGGGGGCATGGAAAAGCTCCCAAGAGAAGCTGGCTACCTCCCCCAACTCTGTCCTTGTAAAGTACAGTACACAATTTAGATTCTGTTGTTCACTTTGTTGATTTTATCTCCCTAAGAAGATTGTAGGCTATTTCTTTCATGCCCCTCCAACATGTAGGAGTATTGGGTACAGCGTAGGTATTCAGCAAATATCTGTACCAATTGCCCTGTCCACCATTAAGACGTGTAGGAGTATTGGGTACAGCACAGGTATTCAGTAAATATCTGTACTGACTGCCTTGTCCTCCATTAAGATAGTTAATAAAGGGGTGAGTGGAGTCAACCAGCCAGTACCCTCACTCACTGTGACTTTGGAGAAATCATACAAACTTTATGATACTATAAAATGACAGATTCATCTTTCTTCCAAAACAGCTCTACATAGCCCTACAGTGTTAGTATCTTCATAGTCTAAACTGATAGCAATGAGTTAAGAGGGCAGGCTCAGAGATCACACAAACCTGACCTCAAATGCTGGTTCTCTCATTTACTAATTTTGTGACTTTTGAAAACTTGGCTTCATTAAGCTTCATACTTCTTAATCTTTAAAGTAGTCACAAAAGTAACATAATTTTACTGAATTATGTGAGAACTGAATCAGGTAAAAACACATAACACGCTTTTACTGTAACTGACACAGTATCTGTCCAATAAATAAAAACTATTATTGGTCAAATAGCTATTTTTTAAAAAAACAAAATGAAAGATATCTTCTAGTGGTGCGACAGGTATTCACAAGCCTTCAACTGAGTCGGGATCCAAGAAAAATCTCAGTTCCTAAAGAAGCATAGCATATATTAGTTCCTCAGTCGCCAAAATATTCTTTGCCTTCTCCTCCTACATTGGACC